GCATAGGAGAAAGAATGAAGAAACCAATAAACCTCGGCGAACTCTGACAAAACTGCGACATCACATCTCTGCTGAACATCTGGTAGACCTCTGGTAGCCGAAAGGCGAATGACGATGACTTTACTCATCGTCATAAAAGAGGCAATTGAAATTAGTGGTTACTGGACAGAATGGTGCTAAAGAATTTTCAAAATACTCGTTTTTTTAATTATATATATATATATATATATATATATATATATTTTTTGAAAACATTGAAAACCGAATCCCCTGACCGCCATCCCGGGACAGAACCGGGATGGAACCCGTCTGATACCAAAAAGTGTGACACCCGTCACCTCCTACTTGGAGTACAACGTGTCACCCCCGACGCGTCCTCAAATAACCATGTGACACCCGTCTCCCTCTCTCTAGGGACAACGGGCCACCAATAATATCTCGTAACATAAAAATCCAAAAGCCCAACTACACTCGCCCAAGCTCAAAGAAAAATCCGAATAAAAAGTCCAATAGCACCAAATCCGTCCAAATATCACCTTATTGCTTGTCTCACCTGAAATGGGAAGAAAGAGGGGTGAACGACTGGGGAATCACTCAGTGAGGTATGGGATGCTACCCTGAAGTCCGTAGACCCGGACATAGCACTCCAAATAAATATAAATTAATTCCAATGCATGTCAAACACGGTACCTAAAGTACCACCCACGCAAACAAGCAATGGTCCTAGCGAGACGCACTCGCTGCCCACTAACAGGCCAAAAACACCGCCCACACTAGGGCTAAACAACATAACAACCACTGAGGATAGTGCCCCGGCACCGCCCGTAGACGATTTATCGACCCTAAGTTACGGCACAACCGGTCGACTAAAGTTGGCCGTAACCCTAAAACAATCCGGCATACAGAAGTCCGTCTCCGTATCCGGCCAAACAATTCTAACTAAATGATTTACACTAAGCGAAGCAATCAATGTTGAACCATCTGACACCCTATTCCGGTTTATGAAAAGAATTCTAAACCTAAACACGCAAACACCAATCAGACCCTAAATTAGACTTAATTCACAAAGACGGAACACATTAGAAATAAATTATATTTATTTAAAGTTCTAAATCGCGTACGAATCGTTCGGAAGTAGACCCTCACCTTAGAAACTGGGGGAAAGTGGTATCTATGAACTCCAGCTGCTCGAATAGATCCCAAATCTGTAATCAGATCGAAATTCCGAGTCAGATTGACCTTCGAACGGTCGAAAACGGGCGATTACGGAAAAGTCAACCCGCTGATCAAAGGTCAACCCAGTCAACTCTGACCCAAGCCGGTCAATCCTTGACCAAATTGAAATCGAATTGGACCAATCGGTTTTCCTTAACCGGATTCGATTTCAATTGAACCGGATCCAAATCAATTACAAATCGGTTTACTCCTAACCAAAATTCAATTGATTGTAACTGCCGGTTTACCTTGACCAAATCGCAATCGGATTGAACCGGGTCAAACCAGTCAACCAACCGTTTGACCGAGTCAACCGAGTTGACTCGCTGAGTTGACTCGGCCGAGTTGACCGAGTCACCGGCGACGGTCACCAGTGGCGGCGGCGGTCCGGCGGCGGAGGAACGGCGGTCCGGCGGCGGAGGAGCGGCGGTCCGGCGGCGAAGGAGCGGCGGTCCGGCGGCGGCGCGTGAAACACACGCGCGCGACGGCGAAACTTCGGGCCACGCGTGCGGATTCGTTCTGGCTCCGATTGAGGCGTTTTTGGTGTCTACGTATTCGTCTCGACGAGTAGAACACTGTGATGGACTTTCATGCACGAGATTCTCAACGGTTCAGAAGTTATTGATGATTTACTAAACGGAGAAAACAAAGCTTCAACTCACTGCGATTTCCGGTTACTTTGGCTGTGGTGGACAGTGGTGATGAGCTCTGCCTGGTGCCGACGAGTGGTGGTCCGGACGAGCTCCGGTGATGGCTCAGAAACATGGGTTTCTCCATTTCTTCCTCTCTCTCTCTCTCCCTCTCTCTCTCTCTCTCTCTCTCTCTCTCTCTTTCTCTTTCTCTTTTTCTCTCTCTCTTTCTTTTGGTTGCAGAAATAGTAAACATATGGGGAGAGGTTTTAAAACCAAGTCCATGGCCTTATGAAATAGAATGGGCCTTCGGGAATGACGTTTAGCGTGCTAACAAATTCTATGTTCGGAATCGGGTCGTTACAGATTCATTCATGGTTGAGGTGTGGTTGGTGGGGTTGTGGTTGGTAGAGCTGGAGTTAGTGGGGTTGTGGTTAGGCAAGGTATGGTTGGTGGTAGCGTGGTCATGGGGGCTCTGGTTAAGGGAGATGTGGTTAGGGTGGTTGTCGAAAGGATGGTCCGCTTGGTTGTGGTCGGATGGGGTGTGTTCAGTGGAAATTGATTGTTCATTGTTGGGAGATGTTGACTTGGCGAGACTCCGATTGGTTTGGACACATTCCTGTTGGTATGTGGTTGGTGACAGATAGCATTGTGCTGCATATTGACTAACGATTGGAGAGTGGTCTGGATGTTGGACTTCTTGATGTGTGTGCTTTTGGAGCTGAATTAGAAGAAGAGTTGAGATGAAAGAATGTGGGAACTAAAATAAAGTAAATTGGAAAAGACATTGTAAATGTGAATTCGTACCAGGCTGTTTTGAGGAGGTTCGGAAGGATCTTGATTGGGTGCTTCATGGTCACTGTTTTTGGTCTTCTTGCGAGGAAATTGGTAGTTGTTTAAGGTGTAACTCTTTCCATTGTAAGGATGAGTACTCCGGCGTACAATTTTGCGGGACTGTTTGGACTCAGACTCCATGATTGAGACCTTCTGTTGGAGTTGGAGAACCATCGTGGAAAGCTCCTTGTTTGAGTAGGTGCGAGAACTCTTTTTGGGGAAGTAAGCACTGAGACGTTTTTGTTTCCTGGTAGAAGCTTCCTTTTGAATTGTTTTTTTTGGTTGTAGCTTACTTGACTGAGGGACAGTTTGCTTGAGGTGAACAGGTCTCTTCACAACTTCGGGAACAGATATCAGAGGCTGAGATGTATCCCCACCACGCCACATGCTCTTGTCGAAATGACTTTGTTCCATGTGTGTAACGCGATCATCAGTGGCTTCGTCTGGCCACACGCCCCAACCAGGTTGTGTTTCCTGCTCTGGGCAGACTATTGGTATCAGAGGCGTGACAGACAGCTGAGAAACCACAAACGGGAATGAAGGAATAAGGATTAAAATCTGTTGCATATGAATAAAGATCAAGAACAATTATCAGCCAAGAGGATAGTGAATTAACTTACATTAGGATCCGCTTCAACTCTTTTTATGTCGTTGATATTGATGGAGAGGTGGTTTGGTATATGGCCGTGATTTAGGCCCATGATTTTGAGATTGTTAAATGGGGCAGGAATCTTAGCTTGAAGCATTGGGATCGCAGTGAAGGCAACAAGCTGTAGTGTGAGTGGAAACCCCTGCAATCTATAAGAATCCTGCTTGAGAAATTCGACCATTTTGTCATCAGAGTCTGGAGACCTCTCAGGTTTCATACACCTTATGGTCTTTACAAATGACTCTCGACCCCAGGGGAACTTGAAAAAAGAGTCAAGATGATCCACCATTTGTACATATCTCAGCGTGGGTCGAAGTGTTTGCTTGTGAGCGATAAGAACACCATCTACAATCATAATCAAAGCGAGACAAATTTTCTTCCAACCAGGCATCCTACGATGCTTCCGGAGCCTTTCTCCTAAGTCGGCAATTGTGGTCATCTTATTGCTTCCAATCAACTTCTTCCATATAGGATCCAGCTGTGGGTCGCTATCATCCTCGTCATCAGGAGGCTGATATCTGTCGGGGAAATGGCCACATGGTAATCCTGTTACAGCTCCAAACTCTTGTAGACCGTATCTTAGGGGTTTACCTCCGAAAGCAGACCACAAAGTGTACTTGAGAGTGCAAAGAAGCTGTCTAGACAGAAGTGAGTGTATGAGCTTGCAAGAAACAGGACATTGTCGGGACGGTAAGTCGAAAAGCTTTCCAAAACAAGAAGCTCTTATCACTTCTAACTCTGGTGTATTACTCAAAACGTGACGGATGAAAGCGAGTATGTCAGGACGAGAGTATATATTGAGACGGTTCTCCGGGTATCTGTCGGTAGCAAACAACCTTGGGGGCAGTTTGGGGTCGCCTGCGATGATAAGATAAAGAGTAGATCAATTATACGCCCAACAAATTTGTGAAATTCTGAGATAAAAATTTCTAATAAATAACAAACAAATGTGTGGTTTGGGTTTCTTAAGTCTATGCGTAATTAGTTTTGAAAAGCATCATGCTTTAACGGAAATTGATTGGAAATCTAACCTCTTCGATGAGTAGATTGTCGGCGATTCTCCGGTTCATCTTCGGTGGCCATGAAGAGGATGATATTCAGTGGTGTTAGGATCGAAGTCGATGCTGAAGAGGATGATACTCGTGGGTTCCAAATGATAATCAGAAGTCCTGAATCGAAGATGAGAATCGAAGAGGAATCGTGGGGACTTACGAGATGGAGAGAGAGAAAGACGATGAGAGAGAAAGAGGGGGATGGGATGAGATAGAAAAGGACGACTCACGACGACGAGGTTGGAGAATCAAATTAGTGAAATTAGAAAGTGATAATGTGTCCTAGAGTGTAAAATTCTCTAATAATAATGATGTCACGTGGCATCTTTTTAAAAAAGTTTCTACGTTGATGTGGACGCTCTCTGGAGCCTCACAAGGCTCCTTTTATTAGTATATGTTTAAGTTTACTTTTTCAAAATATTGATATAATGTATAGTTTTTATATTACTGATAAATATAATTTCGAACATAATAACTAATTTGTAAATATACAACATTATAAATGGAATTACTACTTTAAACATATGTAAGATTACCATGATATATATAAAATTTGGAAAATAAAAATAATATGTAAATATAAAACATTAGAAATGGAAATACTACATTAAACATATGTAAAATACCCATTTTATATTTTTAATAATTAATCATAATATTATTATCTTATTATGTTTAGTTTTACATTTTCAAAATATTCATATAATGTATAGTTTTACATTTTAATATATAATATAAAAATTATATATATATGAATAGGAAAATACACAATTTAAAAAATGAAAAATAGTACATTAAGCATTAAACATATATCTAAAATGCAATATATAGATATTATTAAGTAAATATATAATGTAAGAAAAGAAAATTAATAAGAAAATACACTATTCAAAAATGGAAAAGTTCATTAATAATTAAGCATCTATGTTAAAACGTAAAATATAGATATATTAAATAAATAAATAATAATAATAATAATAATAATAATAATAATAATAATAATAATAATAATAAAAATAAGCAAATAGACAATTAACAATGGAAAAAGTACATTATTCATTAAACATCTATCTTAAAATGTAAAATATAGATATTAAGTAAAATAAAGTATAAGAAATAGAAATACACAGTATAAAGAAAAATAAATAATAAGTAATTATATAATTTAAAAATGGAAATGGTACATTAAATCTCAACTAACAAAATGAGCCTTTTGAGGCTCCATGAGCTATACACATCAGTACAGCTTCTTGGAGGCGACAAGTCAGGGATATGAGTCCATTTCTTGGTCTCTAAGTCATACTCTTCCCCACAGGTCAAGAGTTTGGAATCAGCAACACCGATACCACCAATGACATAGAACTTCCCGTCCATGAAAACACCTGAATACATCTTCCTCGGCTTGTTCATCCTCAGAAGAGTCTTCCAAGTATGAAGCTCAGAGTTATACATCTCAGTGAAATCAAGAATCTTCCTCTGAGAATCATTTCCACCAGCGAATATAGCAATCTCTCCGAGACTCGCGGATCCAAACAAACACCTCGGAGCATTCATCTCCATACCAGATGACCAAGAATTTGCTAAAAAGTTGTATCTGTATAACAAAGTAATAATATTAATGATGTCACGTGGCGTCTTTTTAAACAGAGTTTCCACGCTGATGTGGACGCTCTCGGGAGCCTCAAAAGGCTCTTTTTATTAGTATATGTTTAATTTTACATTTTCAAAATATTGACATAATGTATAGTTTTAAAATTACTGATAAATATAATTTTGAAAATAATAACTAATATGTAAATATACAACATTATAAATGGAAATACTACTTTAAACATATGTAAGATTACCATGATACATATAAAATTTGGAAAATAAAAATAATATGTAAATATAAAAAATTAGAAATGGAAATACTACATTAAACATATGTAATATCACCATTTTACATTTTTTAAAAAATAATCATAATATTATTATCTTATTATGTTTAGTTATACATTTTCGAAATATTGATATAATGTATATTTTTACATTTTAATATATAATATAAGAATTATATATAATAATAAAAAATACACAATATAAAAAATGAAAAAGTACATTAAGCATTAAAAATCTATCTAAAATGCAAATGTAGATATTATTAAGTAAATATAGAATACAAGAAAATAAGATTAATAAGAAAATATACAATTGAAAAATGAAAAAGTGCATTAATAATTGAACATCTATTTTAAAATGTAAACTTTAGATATATTAAATTAATAAATAATATAAATAATAATAATAATAGTAATAATAATAATAAGCAAATAGACAATTAAAAATGGAAAAAGTACATTAATCATTAAACATCTATCTTAAAATGTAAAATATAGATATTAAGTAAAATAAAGTATAAGAAATAGAAAAACACAGTATAAAGAAAAATAAATAATAAGTATTATATAATTTAAAAATGGAAATAGTACATTAAATCTTAACTAAAAAAATGAGCCTTTTGAGACTCCATAAACTATACACATCAGTACGGCTTCTTGGAGACGACAAGTCATGGATATGGGTCCATTTCTTGGCCTCTAAGTCATACTCTTCCCCACATGTCAAGAGTTTGGAATCAGCACGACCGATAGCACCAATGACATAGAACTTCCCGTCCATGTAAACACCAGAACACATCTTCCTCGGCTTGTTCATCCTCGGAATAGTTGTCCAAGTCTGAAGTTCAGAGTTATACATCTCAGCGAAATCAAGAATCTTCCTCTGAGAATCAATTCCACCAGCGAATATAGCAATCTCTCCGAGACTCCCGGATCCAATCAAACACCTCGGAGCATTCAACTTCATCGGGTTTTTCAGGTTTTGAATTCAGGACCCATTTGGTATAATAAATTTACGGGTCGGGTTCGAGTCGGGTCCTCCCGGGTCCGGGTGGGTTCGGGTCTGATGCAAAAGACCCTGAAAATAACCAAATAACCAAAGTATCTGAAACGGGTTCGGTTATTTGTACCCAAAGTAACCATATTACCCGATATGATTCTGATATTTTGTATCCAAACTACCTATTTTACCTAGATATAACCAAAAATACTCATTAGACACAATTGTGTTTGGGTATTTTTTATCAGAAATATAATATTTTATCTAAATATATTAAAAATAACTAACAAATTTAATTTATATTTTTAATTTTAAACTATTAAAATAATTATAAGTAGAATTATAAATAATTTTCTCATATACATATTTATATTTCGGATACTCATTCTGTTCTTGGTTCGGGTCGGGTTCGGTACCGGTTCTTCGGATATAGCAATTTAGGACCCATTCGGTTATTTAGCCCGAGTCCGATCGGGTTCGGGACCCTGATTTTCGGGTCGGTTTTGGGTTGGTTCTTCGGGTCCGGATATTTTTCCCAGCCCTAGCACCAATGACATAGAACTTCCGGTCCATGTAAACAGCTGAACACAACTTCCTCGACTTGTTCATCCTCGGAAGAGTTGTCCAAGTCTGAAGTTCAGAGTTATACATCTCAGCGAAATCANCTTCGGGTCCGGATATTTTTCCCAGCCCTAGCACCAATGACATAGAACTTCCGGTCCATGTAAACAGCTGAACACAACTTCCTCGACTTGTTCATCCTCGGAAGAGTTGTCCAAGTCTGAAGTTCAGAGTTATACATCTCAGCGAAATCAAGAATCTTCCTCTGAGAATCAATTCCACCAGCGAATATAGCAATCTCTCCGAGACTCCCGGATCCAAACAAACACCTCGGAGCATTCATCGTCATACCAGAAGACCAAGAATTTGTTAAAAGGCTGTATCTGTATAATAAGGTAATAATAATAATGATGCCACGTGGCATCTTTTTAAACAGAGTTTCTACGCTGATGTGGACACTCTATGGAGTCTCACAAGGCTTCTTTTATTAGTATATGTTTAAGTTTACATTTTCGAAATATTGATATAATGTATAGTTTTAACATTACTGATTTATATA